TTTGATGCAAAAATTCGAAAACAATTCCAGTCTCAAATTCTTGGTTTGCAAAATTATAGAGAAATTCAAGGATTCTGTCTGATTTCATTTTCGGGAGAATAAATTAAGTGTGAACTTCAAATTGGTACAACAAGAGATCAAGTGTTGCACAAAAAATTGGGAGCACAAATCAGTAGTTCCCGTAAAGGTGACATGAAGAATAAGAAAAACAATTTTCGTCACGTAAAGAAACCCGCGACTCTGTGTTAACACAACACACACACACACGCATACACACACACACACACACACATACCCACACATACACACACACATACACACACATGCACATAGACACACAAACATCAGATATAGTGGGAAAGCCTTAGGGATGTGCTGTTTCAGGAAGGGCATTTATGGCAATTAAATACGTATTAACCGCAGTAGGAAGAGCACCGGATTTTCTCGTCTTTTCAGCTTATCATAGAAGCATTCGTAACGACGCAGTATCACTATAGCTATTATCTATTACTACTGCTCTTCTCATTGTTAGTTCGCTTAATTTACTTAATCATAAATTGAATTATAACGGGATAACATCTGGAAAAACACTAAGAAGCCATATCCACAAAGCTTTCCCACAATCACCGGCTAATTCCATAATAGGCTTCTTTTATTAGCTCAGAAAAAACTACTAATCAAACAAATGTCGAAGCACAATCCCTGCCAGGTTTGTCGTTTATGGTACTCACTAATGTTTTGTTCGGTACATATTGTCCTGCAAGAAATTATTTTATTTTTGTACTAATACGAAAACCCGGTACAGTCATCTTTTTTTGAAGATCACCAAATCAACCCATAAATACTTTTACCTATAAAAGAACCGTCTTCCGTAAACCGTCCAGGATCCGTATCACCATACTCCGCCATTGAATCGGTTTCTGACTCTGCTTTACTGCCCGTTAATGACCGTTTCTCGTCATCCTCTCTAAAAAATCTTAAACATAAAGCTCCTGCACATTTTATTTAACCTGTACATTTAACCCCTGATTACGACACATGTTCCTAATATTACTATATTTTTTATAATATTTTAATGTTTCCAAAATGACAAAGATGAAACGCTAACTCTCGCACTGTTTCCACGATTATGGTTATCGCAGAATTTTACACTCAGTTGCGGAAATCCAACTTAAGAATACTACGAAATTTAAAAACTTACGGTTTGATATATTCACCAAATCCCCTCTCTTTAATACCAGGTAATATGGGCTGCCTGCCTTGTTGCCTTTCCTTCTCCGACACAGGATATTTTGCGCCACGCTGCCGAGCTGCCACGCATACAATGCAGAGAATAATGAGCAATAGGAGTATTACCAGTAAAATGATAATTAACCACCAAATTCGTGCACTTTGTGGTGCTGCAAGAAGAACACCACTCAAATTTCAATCTTCATGTAAAAATTTAAAAGAAAAACGCATTTAAATGAAATAAATTAAGTTATCATCGATATGATTCTTCAACTTTTCCATACCGTCGTATTAGAAATCCTAAAAGCTATCCACGAGAAAAGCAGGATTAGAAAAGGTCCGCAAATTTCAGAAAAACAAACTGTTTCGGAGTTTAGCAAAATTACATCACAATCTTTAGAATATTACAGTCCTTGAAAAAACAGACAACTCCTAAGAAGAGTTAGAAAAACCAACCACTACCAGTGGTACTAATATGTGAGACGGTTGACTCCGTTTCCCGGATATTTCCAGATTGATCGCGTTGCTTTGAGATGACGATTACATCGTATTTCGTTCCTGGCTCCAGGTTATCAATTTGAATACTGAGATCATCGCCTAAAAGCTTTTGTATTAAATTTGGATAGCAAAAAAAATGTTAATTCAAACGGAACATATTTTTCATGTGAAACGAATCAGTATAGCAAATTACTCATTACTACTGCTCAAAGATTACCTTCTTGACTTATGACGAATGTTGGGATAATGTAAATCCAATGTTAAATATAATAGAAGTGCCTTAAACTCACTGTCCAAATAAATCATAAACCCGGATCACTGCTCAGATATTTTGTTTAAGTAGGTCAATTAATTATTCCACGCAACCAGTTTACCAGTTGCCTATTTCAGTTAGTTTTAAGTTCAAACTTATCCATGCTTGGAATTTTAGAATTGATAAATTACATGAAATTATCATTAAATGACACTGCATAATGTTACAAACATTGCAAAAAGGAAACAATATCTAGCAGTGGTTCTGCATAATCTATAAAGAGGCATTATTACATCTACGAAACTAGTATCAGTAACTTTTCCTCAATCAAATAAGAAAGCCTTCCCATATAAACAAACAGGAGTAAATTATCAATTTCCTTCACTAACAAGGCGACATAAATATCTTTAACTATGAAAACCTCCAGAAAATTATAACTGTGGGCATCAAATGTAGATGTAAACAAACATAGTCCATACCTACTTATCTCCTGTAGAAACATAATATCAATTATCAAACCATTCCGTTTGATCCATTCACTAACAAACCACTTGCAAAAGTACTACTATATCTTGAAGTTCAAAGTAGGAAAAAAAAATTGAAACATAATTATCGATGACAATCTTACTTCCACCGCCCTTTCAATCCTGCTTAGTTCGTTTTGAACCACACCAAGATGTTAATTTATTTAACATATAAGTGAATAAGAAGAGAAACTAAATGAGATACCTTTTGGTTCCGCAATTTCCCATTCATCATCGCCAGCTTTTCGATACTTGACATACAAATCACTACCAACGGGTCGTCCTTCATTCTTGTCAAATTCACCTGGTGTCAGCGTTATATTGATAAAATCATCACCAACACCACTCTCCTCCAAATGTGGTTGCTCCGGTTCCACTACACGTGAAAAACGAGAAATGTAAATTTACAATCTCGAAAGTTTAAAACCACCAATTTTAAAATGGAAACCTTCAATTTTCGAGGAAAAAGTAACAGTATTGTGCAACATAATCTCATCCCTTAAGCTAATTTTAATGAAAAAGTACAGTTTCTTTCAAACAACAATATCGACAATAAATTTATAACCAGCAACACATCTCATTGTTTTTTTGACGTCAATGCTGCTGAAATCTCATCATCCAAAGGTAAAAGTTCGCAATTTGCAATGGTCAGAACTGTGAAGAATCACCTCCAAAACAAAATGGGAAAGAACTGCTAATGTAATGCATAGCAATGAAATAATAATTATTCCACATAATACGTTTACATCACCTTACTTGTGACACCGGAACACACATATGCACAAACGTATACATACGAAAAGAAAAATGTAAATACCATTAGAAATTTTTGCCCGAATACACCATGGCTGCACCATGAACACAGTTATAACAGTAATAAATAATAGTGCCATTAATGAGCGGAGTTTATAGAAACTTGTTCATGTTGATAATATCGAGAAACAGAAAATCGACGACCACAGTGAACTGGATTAACCACTCTAGGAGTATGTTCTCAAGCCTATTATATATATCATAAATAAATAAATATATGTCTTAGGATTATTGTTGCTGCCTTACTCAACTAAATATATAAATGTACATATATGTAATAGCTGAGTCTGAACGAGGGAGTGAAGAGGGTGTGTTGTCTACAGCTGGGTTCAGATGGAAGAAAAAAGAAAGGGTGTAATCAACCGTCTGTGCCTTTCATCTCCAACAACGTCCGTCATGACAACATGCTCGACCTAACCAACAAGGTCGAAATTTGTGTTTCGTAATTTCAAGGGGTTATTGAGAATGGACGAAAAGACGGAATAACTGCGATACGATTACCTTTCTATTACTAATTAAGATATCAACAGCAAAAACAATAACAACAATGACAAAAACTCTTTCGACAGTTGCAATTCCATTTCGATCTTTAAATTACCATCCTCTTCCAGCCATTCCTTCAACATTCTCCTGTTCCTATCTCATAACCTTCAAATATACTCCAAGCTATCTCATTCTTCTACATATCCAATCATTTTTGAAGCTTTTCATGTAACATATGACACCACAACCACTCTTATAAATCACACCTCTCCCCTATATTGACTGTTGTCACATTCTTAATACTTCCCTCCCCATTTAATCCCTTCAGAAGGAGTCCAGGTGTGGTTAAACACATCCTCTCATTATTTTAATAAGTATCAGGGACAATCACCTCGGTCTCACCTCCCACTTCCTTCCCTTCCCTTTTCTCATTCTGACTACTTGCTCCTTTTCTACTTCTTGCTCTAATGCCTGAGTAATTAACATTTATATATTCCACCAACTAACTACAACATTCTCCACGACTACTGCACAAACTGAAGAATCCAAGTAAATTCTTAGAAGAATTTCCAGTGCCAAAATCAATATCTAAAGATCAATGCAAACACCAGACAGCGATTTGCCGCAATTAAACGATTAATATTTGACTGGACATCTACAAACAATTCGGCAGACGAATGTAACTTAACCCATTAATCATTATCACCACACAGACGAATTAAAAGAACCGAAAAAATGAAGACAAAGACGAATTAACCTAGAGAACAGGAAATTCTATAGGAAAACTTCATTCAAAATTCCGACTGTAATAACCGGTTCCCCCTAAAAATTTTCACAGTCTACGGAAACTCTAAATTCTTTAGAATCACCAGAAAAATATTAGTCAACGAATGCATCACTAGCGATGACACAATTTCAGAAGATATTGGCGTCCTTTGACAGATTCCCAATTCCCTGCGCCGAATGATGCTATTCAATTTTGATTAAATCCGATTTTTATCAAATTTTGATCACGATGTTCGAAACAGTCTAGACCATTATCGACGATCAACATGTACGCCAACATGCACACTTTTATTTCTTAATGTTCTTAAGAGAATTACCAGTTAAAACTAGGGACAGAAAAAAACTGAAAATTATTTCCTCCTTTTTTGCATACTCATTTCGAAATCGGCTTACTCTATTCCATAAAAATTTATGTCGGAATTCACCTCTATTCTTGTTTTTCTCAACCATTCATCCAAGTTTTCCTTCTATTCTTTAAAATCTTTCCATGTCTCAGTGGAATATAGAATCCATCCAACAAGTAGCCTACTATTTTCAGGATTTCGTTTTGTCTTATTTTTGTGAATTCGGAACATATGGAATTTCGAAGAAAACTAAGGCTAAAAAAATTACTTAGTTACATACTCTACTTTAGTTTTTCTAACTTCCTTACCATGTTGCCAGCCTCTCAAAACCAGGTCTTGATAATCTGCCAACTCGTGAAGTCACGAGAGAGTACGATGGGATTACATAACTCCCAATGCAATAGACCAAATTTACATGTCACTATCATTTTCCACCATTTTTCGTCACCAAAATAATAGGCTATTTCCTCACGAAAACATATTCATGATTTCGATAGTAAAACTTACGAAAGAATTTTACATCTTCAGGTAAGGTCATGACATCCTTCGAATTTGGATCCCCTCGACCAGCATTTGTATTTCCATAAACAATAAATCGATATTTACTATCGTTTTCCAAATTCGATATCCTCAGGAACCGTTCCTTCGGTTGCGTCTTTCTGAAATATTTTTCAAAATAAATATGTTTCGCAATGCACTATTTCAAATGTTCCGGGTATCGACTGGAAATTGCATGAAATTCCAACAGTAACCTGATTGGACAGTTTTCTCTTTGCTCCATTGTGCCATCTGGATTGACAGAGCATATCTCAATCGAATATCCGGTTAAACGACCATTGTAGTGTCGTGGCCGATCCCATCGTACAGCTACAACAGCACTTTCTCGCTCATCACGCCCATTCATGGGATATGCTTCCAAATTTCGTACCGGAGTTGGAACTATAAAATAATTTATAATTTTAAGCAACTTGCAGAAATATGATGTGCGACTGGATTTTTACATTTCGAAACTGACAAGCGCAATACAAAACAGTGTTTGTTACTTGCACATATTTTCCATTTGTGAACATTGAAAAACCGTTAACATTTTGAGCCATCAAGGAACAGGTCTCCTCAAGTTACCTTTCTAAACCCAGATAAAAGATAAAAAGAGAGGTGGGATAACCAATTCATACAAAAAGTAGGTTAAACTCTTTTGCCATGTTGCAAATCTACCTCCTTCTTTTGTCCGGAATGAAATCGGATCAGACGGTGTACCATCATTTTGACCGTTCATTACCGCAATTTGTGCATAATTAACACTGTTCGGTCGTAGACCAAATATTGTGGCACTTTTTTTATCCGGTGCAACGATAACGCTGCGTTTGTCACCAAACACACTTGTCTGTGAAGTCGAAACTTCATTCTTCGACCTCCTCAACTATAACAAAAAGAAAAACAAGTCTGCGTTTGAACCGATCTTTGCAATTCAACATTATGAAAGTCACTGGATAATGTGACCTTTATAAATGGACTATAAATCCGGAAATCAAAAGATTTAAAACAAGGACGAAATAATGCAAGCACACATACTCTCGAATGTCTCTTTAATCGTACAATATCCTCTGTCTCCAACTCAACATCGCTTTCACCTTCATCTTCTTCAGACCAAAAGATAATCTGTAATACCTTTTTTATGCCACACAATTTCAAAACTACAATTCTGACAAAACAAGAGGGTTAAAATCAAGAAGACAAAATAAATAACCTTTATTCCGGTAAAATTTCCTTGTACTTGTTGTGGATCAACTGAATCCCATTCGAAAGTTGCCGATGTTGAATCCGATGTGATCAGTTTGAACCCAGTTGGGGTAAAACCAGGATCACCTTCACCAGTTCTTCCTTCTACAGACTGCGGTGAAACATTAGATGTCCCATTCTCATTTGCAGCACGAACCTGTAAGGTCCAACAGTTTCTTAAATTGTAAAGAGATTCTAAAGTGAGTTTTACTTGTATTTTTAACTTTCATAGCTGAAAATCTGGAATATTCACCTGGACTTCATACGGTCGGAAAGGCTCTTCAACTGATAATTCAATGGTATGCCGATCACTATATGGATCCTCTACTATCTCTTCCTTCCATTCAGCATCTGACCCAGCCTGAACAAATGCAAGTCTTAGAATAAGTGTAATTCGTTAGTAGCTCAAATTCTTTCATGTATACACTGCGAGTAGATGTCTGATTATTTGCAAACTAATAAATTTCGGTTCTTGACTTTTGTACGTTTAATTTTGGAGAGGAGGACTTACAGGCCGATATCGAATAATATAATGAAAATTGCGCCCATTCCAATCTTCTCTTGGCATTGGTTTCCAGAAAACAATTAAATTTTCTGGTCGTGTCCCAGTCGCAGAAACACCTTCTGGATTTCTATCAGGTACTCGAGCTGGTGTTATACAACCGCCATTTACATTTGTTGGTGCTCCGTCACCAAAATCATTGCGACCAAAGACGCGAAAACGATACTGAAATGTTCCTCTGATTGATTAGAACATCGGTTTTTGGACTATAGCAAAACCAATATGCATAAGACTTTCACATAAACTACCTATTAATTTTAAAATCAGTTTCATAATTCGATTCAAGAACAAAAGAGAACATACCTTGCCAAATGGCCGAAGTGATACATCGATCGTACCTTTTACTATACGTTGGTTATCATCTACTGTTTGCAAGGAATCGGCCAAAGCAGGATGAGGATGTGTTAACCAAACCACACCATCAGTTTCTTCATCGATTTGATATTGTGCCCTAAAATTCGGAATTCTGCATAGAAACCAAGATCTCTCGGCAAACTCATTCAATTTCCGATTGAACCAGGAAGAGTTAAGTGTGGGAAATAATGAGAACAGAAATTATGTCAGAAAAGTTATTTAAGTCGCAACTAAAAATTTCTGAAATCCCAACCAAAGTACATACCAGATTTCTTTTATTGGAGCACTAAAATCAATATCCTCCATATATTCAAAACTGATGGACGCAATTTGGGCAGTGTCGTCGCACTTCGTAAGGAATGCCATATGAACTAGATTTGGAACATCTAAAATTCGGAATTTTTTTAAAAAAATCTATGTAATCAGTGTGTGAAAGAAGTCACTCCAATATCTTGAAATTTTTGTTTGAAACTTTTGCAGTAGAAGTTTTGCTCAAAAAACATGACTGAAATTACAATCGTATATTTTTCTCCTGAAGCAAACTAGTCTAATCCCAATCTTTCCAGAGGGTAAAGGTTTTTTAAGAATCCATATCTAAACTCCATAATACATTTTGTTTCCCACTTATCAGTCTTTCGTATCGGTTTGGTTTTCCCATATACTAAATACTGCCATGTCTTAGATACTAGTTGCCGAACATCACCAACCCAACCCCTGAGTATATACTGTCATAATTCCATAACAGTGCAGAATTGAAAAATTCTCGAATTCTCTTAGAACGCGTCCCCGTAGAACTTTTATGGAGATTCATTAATAAGTACCATCGACTCCAACTTGAACAGACTTCTTCACTGAATCTAATGCCGTCTTTGCGATGCACGTATACAATGCAGCGTCATATCGTGCCGGATTTGTAATAATCAGTGAATTTTTATCGGTAATGAGATAATGACCAGATTGTATGTACTGTTCGATTAACGGCTATAATGAAACTTTTTTATAGGATATGTAAAAACTGCAAAGAATGCCCGATAAAACGAACTAAGAAAATTAGTTAGCAAAATTTTGAAAAATTCACTGCAAGTTATTTTACTTATGCATACAAACTTAAGTGGTAGATTATTAAAGGGTGTGATTACTATGTAAATATCCAATATTAGTTGTGCATTATTTCATTTCAGTGTCATTGGTTCTTCATCAAATATCCGTAGCTTTCCGCACTACCTTTTAATGTATATGTTACTCAGCAATGGTGCACTAACAACAATATGGAAAATCCAAATCAATATTACAACCATTAACTCTGTTCTCACTACCTTTCCATTAACAAGCCATTCGTAAGTAACTTCGAGATTTTCGTCATGTTCAGCCTTGCATGGCAATTCAAGTCGCTGACCAGCTAGAACCTTTTCTAAAGGTCTTTCAAATGGTTCCAGCCTTGTCGCTTCTAAAATTAGCGAAGAATTTAGAACTGTCTTCTCCTTTCACACTATTTATGCATGTCCCGCACTTTTCCATTACAATTGTCAAAAAGATCATCATGAGCTTTATTACCCTTAACAAGTTTGATATTTTTCTTGGCCTAATAAGAGCTAGTAAAAAATAAAACTAGAAATAATAATATCCGCTTATTATAAGCTAGTTGAATTCTTTCAAATGAGCAGTATCTTCTCCTCACTCCTTCCTTTCTTTCGAAACATCCGAGTATCTTGAAAGAAATATGTCTATCTAACCGCGTATAATCAGATGTGCTGTTCCTTTTTCTGTACCATGTTTATTCGTCCCAATACATGTGTATTCACCTTCCGCATCTCGACCAACCGCTACAGATAAACTTTCGTTAATTCAAATGCCAATACTTATCACCAAGTACCAAAAGGATCAATTGCAACATAACTTCACTGTCTTTCATTCACTAATAAGCAATAAGGGGCTTTGCTTGTTCCAGTCTTTTCTTAAACAAGTAAATATTAAAGGAAAAAGAAAAAGTTCGAAGATTTAGAAGCCACGAGAAAGGAGTTATCAGAAGTATCCCAAAATTGACGAACCATCAATAATAAGCTTTCCTTCTCCATCGGCATCCGCTGGTACGACGTGATGTCGCAAACCGTGCAACACAGTGCTTTCCCATGTAATGTTAACGTTCGGTGATGCAAAAAATTTGCATGCCAATGTTACATTTTGACCAACTACAGCTTCGACTTCACCGGGGTCAGAAAGAAGTTCTGGTTTGAAAGCTAAAAAAATATGGAGATTCGTCAAAAAACCGCGAAGTAATGCATAAAAATGAATATGTTGATTAGAACAACCTCCTGGATCCATTACCAACTGTTGGATCTCATAAGCTTTTGGGTACGAAAATTTAGGATAAATGTAACTCCAGAAGTTTTGCTTTAATAGCATTACAGAAATGTCAGTCATCATTTTTTTTTCTTTTGAAGAAGTAGATGACATCATTTACCAAGAAGATTGAGGTAGAAATTGGCCCATAAATATCCGTGTTTGTTTTCCACTTTGCACTGGTAAACAGCATTATCGCCGCTGCCAGCAATACCTTTTTTAACATTCCTTAATGTCAGGACACTTCCTGTTATTTCCCAATTTCTGTTGACATCATCATCCCTTGGTTTCATCTCTACGAATAAAAATTATTCAGATATATAATTTAGGAATGTATCCCAAAATACATTCATTACACTAGCATTCTAAACACGAAGGAAAAAGCTGTGGGAACTTAACAAGAAATAGGCAATGAAATTGAAAAACGATCTGCGGCGAATTTAGGAAGCTTTGTTGGTAATTAAAGTACTGTAATAAATTATATGAGAAGTAAAAAAATAGCCTTTGAATGGAACAAATTTTTCTAAAAATTTAATGACTAACCAACGCCATTTTTGAAAAATGAAATCACAGGTGCTGGCTTCCCGTTAGCACTACAGTTAAAAGTTACATCTTCGCCTTCGCTTGTTCGTTTGTTTGGCGGTGGACCTGCCGTCCAATAAGGTGCTGCTGCAAAAAGATAACATAAGAAAAGCTTATAGAAAAGTTTATATCATTTCAGTCTTATCTTCAAGAACATCTTGAATTATTAGTCGGGAACAACGTACCAAACAATCTCTTATATAGTAAAAAAAAAAAAGAAAAAAGTAAATTCGTTTCTCCTCTTTTCTATCTTGACCAAATTCTAGCCATGTTTGATAGAAATAAATAGATGATTCGATATCAACCTTTCCAGTGTGGATAAACTTCAAAATTACTATATAAATCTAAACGAACCTTCAACGACAACGTCGAATCTGCGATCCAAATTGGGATGAGCTTTAAAAATGCATTCATATATGCCTTCTATTTCTGCGCTAACATTAAAAACTAATGTTTTCCCATATGCTTCGTAGGTGTAACGTGAATCATCCTCCGGAATATCGAGACCATTGAATCGCCAAATAGGTGTTGGTTCCGGACTAAAATTTTTCTCAAAAATCAACAGATCCTGTTCAAGTTGTTAAATGGGAGAAAGTTTCCCTCTGAGAACCTTTAACACATTAACACATGCATGTATTTTGAACTGGTTTCAGTAATATCAACAACAACTACACCGATATGCTGGAAACAGAAAGAACGAGAAAATATGTCCATCCAGGAAAATTATGTAAACAAAGCCAAATTAGACAAACAAGAAACATTGTTATCACCAGTACATAACTATATGTATAATAATATGTTTTTCAGAAATGCAAATAAAAACAAGAGGCGACAGTTGCCAACCAAAACGTACAATTTCATAAACAAGTGAATTACGGCAAAATTTCTTGGAGATGTGACGGAAAACTATCAGGTAGAGAAACATTACTTTTGTCCTTTTCTTTTTAACATATCAAGTTAATTTTCGGTATATCTCTTCAGGAAAGAAAAATAGCCGAAATGGGACAGTAAAGACTGAAATTTCTATCCGAATTTTCAACTACATTTTTCCAAAATTGAAAGAAAAAATTAATTCCTACAAAAATTGGATATAATATTGTCTCATAATAAAATCCGATTTTTTTTCCCCTGGCGAAAAAAGAACGGAAATTTACGACTATAAAATGGACTACTTGAAAATCTTGTTGTCTATGGAGGGAAAAGAAAAAAACGATAGCCGCGGTTTAACTAAGCTTTAATTCGTTTTAAAATTCAATTTTCATCTTTCATCGTAACGTCCTTCTGAAAAAGAATGCGAAGACGAAAGAAAGATGAATGCTTGCTACATCTAATTAAAGAGTCTAATTTACAATTTACATAGCCATCACTACCCATTACTGAAAGCTGCTATTAGAAATTCAATAATTCAAAAAAGATGAGATAAGGACAAAAAGAAAAACAAAAACTAAATGTAGAGCAATAAAGATTCAGCAATGTTAAAGCTGCATTATAGCATCCTTATTGCGGAATAACAAGACCGACGCTTGAGTATTACTTTAATAAGAAATTTAAAATGTTGAAAAGCTGCAAAAAATTTATATATAAAAACTCTTGAAATCTTTTCGAGAGAGGAACAAAACTACAGTGATCGCTCACAACGATTCAATAACGCGAAAAAAAAGGAAATTGAGAGAAAAAAAAGCAAAGGACTGCAAAACAGAAAATCAATTTAAAAGTATTAAAAGTACTAAAAGCCTTGAACGTAGTTCCGAGAAATGAGGAAACTGGAATGTGAAAGAACAATAGATTTAAACAAAATCAACATCCTTCCACCTCTTTCGTCCTTTTTATATTACAGTTCAGAAACTAACAAATTTCAGATTCAAAGTTTAATTTGATAAATGCCACAAGTTTTCACAACTGCAACAAATACCTTGAACTTTTATAATTGCAGTAAACATTGCAGTCTTTTATAAACTTCCCACAAGCATAATTTTTTTTTCAAAATTTCAAAAAATCAATACACCGGCATAGCAGAAATGATTAAGTAGCCAAATGAAGTCGTATAAATGGATGTTTTCATGCATATGTGTAAACAAGCATTTCATTTATTACTGCAATATATTTTAAAGCTTCTGACTCACAACAGAGTCTTCCTTCCTCAACTACTACCACCGGAACACCACATCTCCTATTCCCTCATCATTAGATGAATGTATGTAGTTTATAAAGCCCAAAAATTTCGCTGACAAAACTACACTAAATTGTTCCAAAAATTCTTTAGCATATTACAGTCGTCTCCATTTTCTGATTATTTTCGAAGAGTTGATGTTTAGTATTGGATTTACTTATGAAACAATTATTGTCGGATAACGACAGCAAATTCAGGAATAAATGAAATAAAATAGAATCTCCTAGAGCGAAATTGGAATAAACTTTCAAATACAATACTTACGACTCCAAACAACAAGCTAGCCTCAATATGAACGAAAAAAAAACGAAAAACAAAAAACAAGAAAACAAACGTCAAAATCAATAAACAAGTCCATATCCACATAAAACCATTTATTTATGAAATTTCTAGGATACACCATGCTACCAGGCTGCTGCGTTTGATTTTTCCTCCCTCAGTAACCAATATTTATGACGTTATGCAATTCATGACAATTCAAAACAAGTAAAAACTTACTATCCACTGAAGAAGCAATGTAGCTTATGTACGCTACCTTCCAATGCAATCGGAGAGCTCTGATTTACATACTGCTCGCTAGGAGGTATCGGCGAAGTCACTGCAATAATTAAATATTTTAAGCAATCATAGTAATACCTACAGAGTGACAATTTCTGAATAACTAGTGGGAATTACATCACAATATATTATAAGAAAAGCAATTACGGCATAACTAGGGTCGTATTTGCTGCCCTTCTCTCCCTCCTTCTGGAAGCTTTATTTCTATTTCATATTTAATTTTCCCTATGTTATGAGTGCCAGGCATTATGAAGCTGAGACAAAACAATTTTCGACGAAAACAAAGAAAAAAGATGTAATCTGTACCCTTCGGTGCCATCCATAGGATTCACGCAAAGTAAAATAATTGCTACTTATCGTCACTTTTCTTTATCGTAACATTTTAATCTGATCAAAGTTCTTTCTTTCCGGATCCCAAGTATAGCTAATGAACTCCATGTCATAGCCCAAACTCCTATTACAACTGAAACCATCACCTACATACAATCATCTCCTTCCTCTTCTAACTCATTTCTCCTTCTTCTCCACCAAAAAAAGATTACATAGGATGAAACTGTGGAAAATTCAGTTACTGAAAACTGAAACTTGAATTTTAACATGTCAATGAATAAAAATTTTTAAGAGATATTCGGCGGAATCGACCATAAATCGATAGTCAATAACGCACAATAAATTAACCAATTTCAAATGACATCTATCATATTTTATGGCACAAACAAATGGCTCCTCAACGTAGTATGCATTAAATAACATTTTCCCTCCTCCCCTCACCCCTCAAAAAACGTGTTTCGACCATTCGCCCCGCAAATACCTTTCATCAATCTACTATTATCCAATTCAGAAAAATCAATACGAAGAAAATCAGCACAAAAATTATCCGTTTAAAAGTTGAACAAATTTTGGAGTTTGAATTCAGTAAAAGATATATCCTAAAACGACGAAATTGAAAACCTGCATAATATACCCATTGCACGCAAAATATATGACTGTATATGAAAATTCTTTTTGACCCAAAGAAAAAGAAAAAACTGAAGGAAGCTATTACATGAAAAAGTTGGCCGCATTTTATAAACTAAATTATAGTATCAATTAACCATTCTTCTCATATGCCTTACTCTTCCAATCCCTCTGCAAAAGAGAAAAGGAACGTAAAATAAGACGCAGTCTGACAAAGTTATTCGTGCTAATATGTCTCACCAAAATGGCCGGTAACGATTTTGGGTAAAGCACAAACTAAAACAATTATTCACTACCGTTACGCCTGATTTCCCACTTCTTATGTTACGGTTCCTGTTACTTTTCGCTTTTTTTTTTGCACCCATAACGGCTAATATATGCCCGGCCTCCACTAAGGTACAACACAGGAAAGTAGCTATGTTCAAGTGTTTAAATAGAACTACTTAAAAAGTACAACACAGGAAAGCAGCTATGTTCAAGTGTTTAAAACACTCCATTTTAAATGTTTGAAATATTTGAACGTTGAAATGACTCGAAGTGCAGCTACTCTGGAACTATATTCTTTTGATTTTGTGATTTGTCAGAGAAAAATAGTAAACAAGAGAAGGAACAACGAAATATTAATTTTGTCAAAGAGCAAGGTTGAAATGAAAGGCATTTGTGTAAATCAGAATGGTATTTGTGTTTCACGAATATCCACAATTAACTTCAAGCTTTGACATCAAAAAATTTTTACATTTTAAAAACCTGCATTTGTTAGCTTAAAGCACTTTCCATCTCAGAAGAACAATTTTACCTTTGTTCTTGGCAATCTTACTACGATAGACAATCAGTAAGACTATCTGGTAACTTAGTGCATGCAATGTAGCTTCCTGTTCCAATTCCCACAAATACATTGAAGAGAATTTCCACAACAATCATCAAAACTGTTTGCGTCTAATTCAGAAATTAGCAAGTCAGCTGTTTAAATCACTTCAACTTAGTTAGCTAGTCACCGTAATTGGTTTTAACCTATCGAAAATCTTTTAGGTATGAATCCATCCCATCTATGACTCCTACAATATCACTCCTATCTATCTAATCACAGATATTTTACATACCATAATGAGATTGCTCAAATAAAAAATTTTACGGAAATCTTGAAAATCAAAGACAGAAATTCAAAAAAAAAGTGGAATTGAACGAAACAAAAATCTTACATGCCCGTCGACGATTTTTGGTAACATCGAGACGAAACTGATTACCAAATTTGTAATCTTTGAGTTTGGTATTCTCAGCGGTACATGTGTAGTAACGATTTGGCTTGAAATCAGATTCTTTAATATGATGAAAATAAATGGTACCCTGAAAATTATAAATAAGCAAATGATTGCGAATGATAAACAAAACAGCTTACCACAGATATGGTCAACAATATGTACAGTTGAAGGATGAGTATCGTGAAGCAACGAGCTGCTGCTGTTGTTGTTTTCGATATTGTTGTTGATACTTTCGTTTTTTCGCCCAAACCATTTATCCAAGCTATTTGTTTGTTTATAAGTTTTATATTATTGCACTATTGCTATGACAGCAGCAATCGCTTTACTGTTGCTATTATAGTTGATGGATATCGTTATGATCTGACGAAAAAAAAATCATAATCTAAATTTAAACTATGGCAAAATTTGATACAAATTTTGAAGCGATAACATTAGCATAACATAGAATAGGATGGAAGAGCGGGAAAAAAAGAGAGAAAGAGAATAGAGTAATAAGTAAAACAAATGATGATGTCATCAAGGTAAACAACCCTTAATGAAAAACATTCTTTGTTAAAACAAAACAAAAAAACCTTCTCACGCTTACATACACACATGCACATAAACAAACACGCGCTATGAAAGTGTTCCGATTAGTTAATCGACCACTTTAACTTTCTAATTATCGATTGAAATGAAAAGCTATTTATAAAGTGCACATTTTGTTTCATCCAAAAATATGCAAATTTCCAATGATGTATCTTTTACATCATTGCAACAATAATAATAACAGACAGTACAATCATGTCAGCTCTTACACAGGTATGGCTATTTTTGGTTGAAATAATGATACGTGATGATAACAACAACAATGATATATGACTAAATGATAAACAAACAAACAAACAAACAAACAACAACGGCCATTGAGAAGAATGACAAATTAATAGAAAAAAAAAGCAGACAGACGGAGCATTAATAGCATCAGACAGTGATTGTAAAAGGTTGAAATTACAACTTGTTGGAAAGAGGCAAGAGGGAAAGAGAGCCGAGGAAAAGTTAGAAATAAGAATGAGAAGAGTGAGGAAAAGGAGGAAAAGAAAACGGAAGATGAGGAAAAAGAAGAGGAAGAGAGAAAAAGAGGAAAAATTTTGGATGACAGCAAGGTAAAAAAAGAGACGAAAAGGGGAACGGATAAAGATGGAAGCTAAATTGTAAGAGTAATAACGGACGAAATGATTTAATAAAAGTATCTGAAAAGTTTATAGCAATTAACGAATGCGAACATATTTATGGGGAAACATGTGAACTATCATAAGAGGGCACAATAAGTATAAATCGACCGCACCAATAGCGGAATATGGAAAGTTATGCGCATTCCGCACACACAGACATGCACAGACAACGGAATAGAAATGAATGGAAGAATTGGAAGGAATGGAAGAATTGAAGGAAACCGCACGGAATGAAGTTAGCCTAACTATGCCATAGAAAGAAATATGTATATATATATGTAATACGTATACGCGACAGGCTGTGGTTATGTTCCGGTCATGCACTATGTTGATGCCTCACTTCTTACCCGTTGCCATCACCGCTATTTATTTCTCAATTACGCGACAGCAGCAATCTTTGTTGGTTCCACTCATCCATCTGTCTATTCTTCCAATTCTTGATTTGCAAAAAGAAAAAAAAAGCCTTATTCAATAAAAGTTTTGCAAAATATTTGCATTTCATATGATTATGAAAAAAAAGTGGTAAGAATGTATTGGTCATTGTCAAATGACCAAATGACCAATACATTATTATTCTTGATCTATTACAAATTAAATGTTCATTTCTCATAAGATAAAAGAGCGAATAAAATGTTCAAATTATCCATATGTCTCCATTAATATCAAATCATAGTCGGACAAATATCATATTTCAGACATACAACCGCAATCTATTCAATTATGATAATGATGTTTCTTGAAGGTGACAACTAAAGGATAAATCAAAAAGGAGAAAATAGAACATTGAGAGTGGGAAGAGAAATGAAGAAAAGGACGAAGAGTTCACTACAAGGTCAATTATATTGGTCAGAATAAGTGAATGCTGGGTATAACCTTGGTCTTAACGTGCGTCTAGTGTACCATTATACGAACGTCACACATACACACAGACAGGTAGGTACACATACATACAAATACATACAGACAGACACACACACATACACATAAATACAGACAGATAGGTAGGCAAACGCACACTCACTCACACACACACACACACACACACATGTAAATGATCTGTCGAGACTTTTTGTATTGTCCCAAAACAAGTTAACCGGTTTCGTCATAATAAATGAATTCCTTAATTTTAAAACAATTCCAAAATATCTGACAAAAGGCAGAAGCAATGTTATCTTTTCTGTGAACACAATTTTCGAGCTTTCATATTACTGGAAAATTTTTGAAAAATAGGCTCAAAAAAGAAAAAAAAAGAGAGAAAGATTGAAATTATGATCATTAACTAATAGATCCCATTAGATTAAAATAACCATGACAATATTTAATCCTAAAAGTGAAATTATGATTGAAGTATGAAAAAGACCACTGGACAATGATTCCATTCAAAATGATCCAACAACCCTAGGAATGACCATTATGAAAATATTTGCGAAGCAGAAGTTAAACTCATTTATAATCCCTTTCATCAGTTGTATAGAGAGATAGATAATGAACAGCTTTATGTGATGCTAACTGCCTCAACACTTTAGTTTCATTGATTTCAATGAATTTTCAAAATGCTCTCTATACTTTCATCCTTTTATCTTTTAAACCAAAAGTTTGCATCGATTTGATGTACTTTCTTTTTTTTTTTTTATTCTTTTTCTCAGGAAATTCAACATTCAACACTCATTTAATTTTTCTTCAAAAATGGAAAAATAATTAAATTTTTAAAAAATTTTAAATAAATAAAAAAGTGCGAAATTTTGGGAAAGGTTTATTGAAACTATTTGAAATGAAAAAGGACGAGGAAAAATGGATGAGAGTAATAAGTCGGAATTGCCCAGAAAATGGAAGGATTAGTTAGTATGTGACCAATGAATGAATGATGAATGAACATTGGATTAATTCTAGTAAAAATTCATTTCCATTTCAAAATTAATGTATTGAAAAAGTTTTATTACTTATAAATTTATAAGAAATGAATTGAAAGTGAAGAAGGAATATAAATTAATTAATGACCGGTAAAATATGTAAACAAGCTAATAGAAGAGGTTGAATAAAAGAAGGGTGAACTGAGAAAGAAATGGACAACGGTTCAATATCGTATAGGAAGAAAGAATTATAAATATGAGGAGAGAAAGAGAAAAAAGAGAGAGAGAGAGAGAGAGAGAGAGGAG